AATCAATCAAAACAAAATCAATTTGAAAGAATTTTCGTAAGGGCTCATATATTTACAAAAATAAAAAGAAGAAATTTTTATATTGATTTACCCTGCAGACATATGTTGTACTGGATAATCAAGATAATGTGTTTTGAAAACAAGGTAGAAACGCACGGCTGCGCGTTCAAGGCGACCCAGATTTTCAAATTTTCTTACGTTGGCGCCAGATCTGACGTCACATTACAATGACGGACATTCACGCTAGCCTCGTCAAGTGATTTATGAGTCACGCATTTTGAACAGCGTTTGTTTACTTGAACATAAAAGTGCAAGAAGAAACAAAGAATTTTAAATTACGTGGTGCAGCGAATAATGTAAAATTAGCAAGAATAACCGCAAAAAAAGAGAAAAATGAGAAGCAAATGGTCCTTGATTCATAGATGAATCAAGACAACTCTAGCAAATCTTTCCGAAAGGAACGCGTAGATGCGATGAGATGAAACCAGTTTAGTTTACGCTTTAGACGATAACGAGAAACTCACACTTCCCAAAAAATTAGATTATTCTCAGTCATATCAATGACTTATGGACTACTCTAGAAAAATACGAGCGCTTTCTAAACATCAAATTTCGTTCGATGTCGTTAATTTCAGATGTAAAGACTTTGTATAAATCACAATCTGCGAGACCGAAAATCAGTCATTAACACAAATTTTTATGGAGACTTGTTTATAATCTTTAAATTTTCATAAAATTCATATTTATGGCTAGTTTTTGGGGCGCTATTCCACATTAGTTGACTCAAAAAATGAAAATCCTGAAATTCGCTAAAAATCCGTCTATGGGGGTCATTTGATACGCTAAACACGAATATAATGTTAATTTCGTGCGCCAGCGCCATCTGGTGGAGTAATGGTTAAGTTTCGGCGAAGTTCGAGTTTAGCCCCTACCGTAATCCCACCGTAACACCGGATGGCGCTACCGCGCGAAATAAGCACCATATTCATGTTCAGCATGCTAAGTAACCTCCTAAACAAAGTTTCGGGCAAATCCGTGATTTGAACCCCTCTACCGTAACCCAACCGTGACTCTACCGGATGGCGATACCACGCGAAATTGACATCATACTTGTGTTCAGCGTACCAAATAACCCCACTAGACGAATTTTTAGCGAATTTCAGGATTTTCATTTTTTGGGTCAACTA